TGTCCATGTGGTTATACACTAGACACTTTGCATGTATCTACTGTCCATGTGGTTATACACTAGACACTACACAGTCTATGTGGTCATATACGTCACACAATGGGCACATATACATGTACACAACAACGATCATGTTCATGTCAGTTTGACATTTTCTAATTTAAACTATTTCAGGATAATAGCTCGTGGTTATATACTCACCAAATTTATTTATTTATATCACTTGTAGTATAACTATTGGAAACTGATTAAGCACTTACCGAATGTAGTAGAATTACTAGTAATTGTTGTCATATGTATTCATGGGTAGATCTAGGTGAATGAGAGCAAGGTGACTGGTCTCATTGGTGGTAGTTTTTGCTAATTTAGACAGTTAATATGAGTAATGAGACAATCGATGACTGACATGATTAAAAATGATTATGTCCACCAATACTATTAGTGTAAACTACATTTAATCATATCCTATGCTAACAGTACAATAGACACTTCCTTGTGTATTGAAATGGCAGCACTTGTATCATAACAGTCACAATCCCAGAATAGAATTTATTACATTACAAATATGTATACTCCTAAGATACCTTTAACAGATAGATAGAATTTTTTATTTGGAACGTACCAATGAAATAATGAGTAAAGTCCAAAAATAACAAATGTATTTAACATGTTAAAAATACATTCCTATTCCTCAATTCTACTTTCAGTTGCACCATTATTATGGAGGTGTAAGGTTACCACTGCATGCAGTAACTGTGTTACAAATTATGATATGTAATGATTGTTTTTTTTTTGTTTACTCTCAGATGAAGATTGGCATAATGCACATGCTCTGAAGGATTCAGAATTTCACATCCTGCCCAGTACTCTCATCCAGGTCTCGGTTTTCTTGAGTGTAAAACCAGATTATAAAGTTCTACCACAGTAAGTAAGATCAATTGATTTAAATTAGTGATGTGCAAACTGACTGTGCAAGTGTAAGTACTGGAAGTCAGATTCCTCTTTACTCTTACATGCAAGCCCACAGTTGAAAAGTGTGATGATCAAATCTCTATTACCGATATGTAAAGTGTTGTAGTCCTTTACTAAGTATGACCTTCATTTCGTGTAGCACTATAATAATAGTGTCCTGTTAAACAGTCTATCAGGAATTATTTTTAAACCTCTCACATGCACATTTACCATTCACTGTGAGATCTTGCATATTGCGTGGAGGGTGCTGTCCAAACATCAGCAATATTCAAATGATTTGATTTTGAACTTGAATTTTTTGTTTTTATAGCTTAATGTCAAAATGCTGGTCTTTCAGAGGGGAGTATGGTGTTGAGATACCCTCACGTCATCAAAATCTACCATTATCTAATGAGTATAGCACACAGGGAATACCCCCAAACACTTTCATGTTTGTCAAACCCATGCGATGTTTTGACACCATTATGACACTATAATTTTTCTTTCATGATACATTTCTTTATTTCATTAACTTTATAGGACTAAGTTGGAAGCAGTGGTGCCATCATTGAAGGTGACAGTTTCAGATAACAGATTGAAAGCTCTACTTAAGGTAATGATATTCTCTCGAATCCTGACCACTGAGAGTGTGGGATCAAACTGTTCCTACTCTGTGGATAGTGTGAGAAATTTAATCCCTTTGGGGGGGGGGGGATTTTTATTATGAGGATACCACAAAGTTTGCATTTGATATGGGTATTATCTACTGACATGAAGTGACCACTTTCTGTCAGAATGCATACTTGTATCCTAATAATCACGTAATCATCATCTTCCTTAGCTATCACTTGGTGTATGAAGGAAGCTCAGAACTCGGCAATGTGGTGAAAATTTGTGGAACTTGGTATGAACTGTAGAACATCTTTGAAATATCACATAATCATTCCATATTTGGAATTTGCATTGCCTAATAAAGTAGTATGCAAATATTCATTAAATACTGGCTCATTTGAATTGACTGACAAATGTATAATAATATTTTCTATGATATAACTTTTATTAATTGTTTTTTTCCAGTTTGGACAGACATTGCCAATGCCAGCCACCAAAGTTACTATTGCGAGTAGTACCCTGCCTGCACTTGTGAGTGATATTTTTTTAATTAAATGTATTATTTTTATATCTCAGTTTGTACATGTATATGTGCTGCTGTCTTCTTCATTCTGTGTTGATTTAGTCTTTTGAGTGGCACCATCAGAGGGCTCACACAATGATTAATTACATACTGATAGCGACCATATTCCGGAGATCTCGTAAGAGGCAGTTGTTCATTTACAGGCAAGCCAGTAAAATAAACAATTTTCAGAATTATATGTTGTTGTGCTTGATCACAATGAAATGTGAAGATAATATTGTAGTTGCGAACATAAGTAATGTTTATGTTTTGAATTGTGTATGTGCATAGTAGACAGGATGTAGTAAAAACCAATCAGCAAATAGGAAAAGAACAGTAGAGTGCGCACATGTGTAGTTCTTGTGCCACTTTAATCCCAACAAAAGTAAATATTATATTCAGATTTTTTTACTCGTATCAACCATTCTGCCTAATCATTTTTCTTTCTGATGTTTTGTTTTCGTTCATAGCTCACATTTTCAGGTTTAAAATCATTGAAGCAACTGTTATTGTATAAAAGTATTAAATAATTTGTTTCAGGACAAAAAACACATCAAATCTGTTTTATCAGCAAATTCTTTGAAGAAGCTCAAGAAATCTGTTTCTAGGAAACCCAAACCAGTAGCTACCTTGGATGAAATAGATGCCAGAGAAGAGCCAGTACTTTCATCTCAACCATCATTAGCAGGTTTGTATCCCACAATGCATTGCAACCATGTGATATAGATTTTCAATCAGTCTCACAAAATTATGGAAACTGAAATATGTCTACTTTAACTCATGAAATCATGAAATACTTTCATGTCGAAGGTCATGAGTCTTGCATAAGTTGCTTTGGAGACTAACAGATTCGAAAAAAGAAATTCAATACAAAATTTTAACATTTCAAATATGGCATAAATGATTTTAGAAACATGTTTTCCAAATATTTCGTAACTAGTCTGATGAGCAATGGCAATTATTTTATTTTGAAACATAAAATTGTCCTACAGTTTGATTTTAATCTTGTAAACTGTTTACCCTGTTTTTGACTTCTTGTCACGCAAACTGCTTACCCTGTTTCTGACTACTAACATATTACTGATGACTTGTCTTGCAAACAGCTTACAACTTTTCTTGTCACATGTCATGCAAAATGCTTACCCAGTTCCTGACTGCATTTCCTGCCAACTTCTTACCCAGTTCTTGATTAACCAATGCTGTATTCTGTGACAATTTGCTGTGTTTTTTAAACCAGTAATTTGGCTGATCTCTGTATTATTGTAACTGTTTAATCCTAATATGAATAATGCAAGCTGCTTCAAAAGAATAAATTAACAATGGCGGAGTACTAACAACTTATTTCTTCTTTCTCTACTTTCCTGTTTTTTCATCTCATTTTTGGTGTTGTTTTGGTTCATATTGACATTAACAAATATGAATACCTTTTAAATTCATCTTTTTTTTTCATTTTTTCCACGACTCATTTGCACTTGTATCTTCCTTTATCTACATTATAAATATCATGTATTATCCTGTCTCATATCAACTTTGCTCCTCGTCTCATATCAATGTTGCTACTCGTCTCATATCAACAATGCTCCTCATCTCATATCAACTTATCATATTCGTTTTTATTTATAAACACAAATAATTATGCTTTCATAATTATTACTCATATTTAATTGCACAATTTCTTTTATATTTGATAACTCTCATTGGTTTTTGCCTTCCTTTCCTCTCTCCGCTGCACTCTTCTCTTGTCCTCACCTCTATCCCATAATACTTCACTCTGTGATATCAGAGTCTGAACCATTTTATTCAGCCTCTGATCATTCTGATGAAGAAGTCATTGATTGGGCATCAGTGTTAGAAGTGCCTGCGTATGAAGACACAGCGTCTAATACTAACACCATATCTATGTTACTCAGATTCGTCATACGAGAGGTAGGTCATTCTTTTAAAGCAGGGGAGTCGTCACCTATGCATGCGTCAGGTGGTCATAGCGTATCATTGTTTACAAACAAGTGTCTACCCATGAGCCTTTGCGTTCTTAGTGTGTATTGTTATCATCGCTTAGGACTCAATTCCTGCGCCTAACGCAGGTGACGACCCTCTCGCTTTAAAATGTCCAGGTCATTGTCCTGTGCACTTTCAAATTTTGAGAAACTATGTGTTTCATGCATTGTTGATGCTGCAAAGGGACCATATCAAACACAATCTGATCCAGTGCAATGACTGATGCACTTTGAAGCGCATTAAATAGAATGTTCAAAGTTCCTGTAAATAAAGAATGTTGTTCACATTTGTTGTATACATCACATGGTGGTCATATCAAACACAATCTGATCCAGTGCAATGACTGATGCACTTTGAAGCACATTAAATAGAATGTTCGAAGTTCCTGTAAATTAACAAATGAATGTTGTTTACATTTCTTGTATACATCACATGGTCGTCATATCAAACACAACACAATTGTTGCATTTTAAATTTGCATAAAAATAAACACAATTAAATTATAATGCATAAAGCTGAATTTTGCCTTTTTTTATTCCATTTGGACAAATTTCTGAACAGGGACTTTAATATTGTTAGTGTTTTGTATCTCTGGACACATACAAGCTGATTTTGCATAAACTTTGTAGAAAGTCAATTTTATGTGCATGATGGATTTGTTGTCAGCTAATCAGCTAATCAAAGATGGCTAAAATGTTTATATTGTCTATACATTAAAATATATTTGTTTATTAATTGCCTACAAGCCAGAGTGCTGAAATGTTTTTGTTTATTTAAAGGTTGTTTTGTCAGTATCTAAGGTACAAGCACCAAAGCCGACTGTTCCATCTGAAGATATCACAGTTGACAGTGACTTTGAAGCGAGACACAGATAATGAGTATTTAATGTTTCGGATTGATTCATGTGTACTGATATTGCTATGTCAACATATGGAACTACTATACATGCTGGATTGGGTGGAGTACAATCATTGATAAAATACATACAGGTAGGTCATTATGGAAGGGAGAGGAGAAAATTGAATAAATAGGATGGGAAGTATGTTGCCATGACAATATATAGTAAACTTATAAACTGTTTTTCAAATATATCAATGGCAGTTTATTACAACCGGTCACCGGTAGCATAGTGGTTGTCGTATCAGACTCATGATCGGTAGACCCAAGTTCAAATCCTACCTCAGGCTGAACATCAAAAGGGTCGATTTCTCTGGCCGAGATTCATTCACTAACGAATGCGACTTTGGCTAAGATTCGAAGGTGCTTGTGTTTGACCGATCCTGGTTGACGCCAGGGTAGCGCATTAAATTGCCATTTGATAGGAAGATGCCCGCACATCACTGTCATGTAGTCTCAAACATGAATATGACTTCTGTGGCAAAAATGCGCTATGTGTCAGCACTAGCACTTGCAATTTGCACATACAAAAAAAAGTCAGGAGAGACAACAGTGACATTCAATGTCTGGAACTGTCGCCTAGCACAAACAAATTAAAAAAAAAAAAAAATGTCAGTTTATTACAAAGATGCTCTTCGAGTGCTCTTTCATTTCAAATTGGTCAGCTGTCATCTATATTTGTTACAATATTGGTGTTTTTATACGATTTGTGACAAAAAAGTTTGGGCAATCATGTCAATCGTTCTCATTGAAGTCAAGATTCATTATGATAAACTTGCATTTGGAATTACAACTTGTTTATTTCTTTGGGCATTCCATGGTAATGTAGTAGAAACTTACAGTACAAAAATACAGTGCTTCCTTGAAATAATCAATTAATGGTGGCCAAATTAATTATCTATCCTATTCTAATTCAAGGTATGGATGGGACGTATCTGCATTTATTGAGTTCACCTACCAAAATGGAGTTGATATCAGTGCTGTACAGAAAGGTATGTTATGTTGTTATTTGTTTATCTGTCTTTGTTCATATTGTCAGTACTGTACTCGACCGTGTTATAGCGCCCAGGGCGAGCATCCCCTCGCAAAAAAATGCAAATGACAATTTTAATTCACCGTGTGACAGATTGAAGGGGATATTACGTCTTTGAGGGGAAATAAAATTACCAAATTAGGTGCATCGTCATTGACTTTTACAATGGGGAAACAGAAATGGTCAAATATGCACATTTTATTACAATATTAATTACGTACCACCCAAATTTACAAAATTAATAAATATTAGAGTCTGTTGGAACACAGTCATTATCGCCACTAATGATTGTGTTAGATCGTACGCAAACTCTTGATAAAAAGCTCTTTTCGCCATGATGTATTTGTATTTGACCTGCATCAACGTCCTTTGACCTAATGAGCCAAGTGTGTTATGATCCAATCAAAATGCTGTGTTGTACTAACGCAATTCTTCGGAAATTCCTGAAGACTTTCAGTTTCTAGTAACACAATGCGGAAGTGAATTATCGATGTCGAAGTACGATCTGTTGGAATTGATTTCAGCATTCGACATGGTTTTTAATGCAAAGATTGGGAGGTTATTGCCATGGTTAATACCGGTATATAATCTGTCTTCTATTTGTGTGTTGTCAGGTTGAGCCTCAGTGTCCAGAATTCAAGTCATTTTATAATAGTATGGAGCAAGCGGTTGTCATTCGATTTACAGCCTTAAATGTGGTGTTCCATAAAGATGCTATGTTAGAACTCAAAGAATTTGTAGAAGATTTGCTACAAAGGTAATGCTCCATGTTTGTCCCAACAATACTTTGATTTGTTACTTGTCATCATCATGTTTTTGATATGTATTTACTGACTGATTATGGGCCATGTGTGGGCGATCATTGGTTGCCTATATTTTAAAATCGTTTTTTGAGTATGTTCTACTCATGATAGAGCTCCAAATTTTTAACAGTCTCTGGCCAAGACCAAGACTGCCTTAGTAAATAAAAAAGCAAAAAAAAAAACAATTTTTACTCCGAGTGCCCACGAACCTTATGGTTGAAATCTACTCATAATTATTTTTTTGATCATAAATCGCAAGACAATGTTTATTCATTTATCATGTAGCTATTATACTATGGCACTATAAAATAGCATTTATTTGTGTGTTACAGTGTTCTAATATTTTTCAAAAATATTCCATTAAACACAATGTTAAAAAAAAAAATGTTTTTTTTTGTTTTTTGAAACCCAGATTTTTTAAATAATTCAGGACAACAAAAGGTCACAATATATTATTTTTTCAGCCTATGTCACCAGCCTACTATTTGGGATATGGCATAATATCTCATAGGAACCTATGGTAAAAGTGTTACAATACTGACAAAATGGCCACTATTTACTAAAACACAACCTATCCATTACTTGAAAATTAGGCCAGTTACCCCCAAATATCCTTATATTGCCGTAGAGCACAGTTTATTGCAATGTGAATAATTTCTGGGTATTTGTAATATTTAACCTTTTTGCCACCAGACTTTCTCGCCCAAATTTTTCTTCACTTTTTTCTAATTTTCTTCAATATTTCTGGAAATGAACCCTAATTTTGTAGCCAACAAACACAATTTGAGTCAATTTTCAGTTTTTACTTAAATTGGCTGCTTGGTGAAAAGGTTAATGAGTAGACTTCTACATTTGTACTTGGTAAGCTGCAGTCAGGTAAATGTACTTAATGTGTTTCTAATTTATACTGCCACATGGAACACATAAGTTTCAATGTTTGTTTCAACAGTGCCTCACGTTTGGATTCCAGTGATGCACTGGAGACCGAACCAGATCTGCCACCATCAGGACAACAGATCCCTGCCCCATCTATGGGAGGAAAATCAGAGGATTCTGGTAGAGCAACAATACCTCCATCATCAACACAAGGTATGGATCGTGGAGAGCAGGATGCTTATGAATATTCATGAGCTCATTATGCATAATATCATGTAAATAAACCAGAAAATCTCCAGTTTTTTCATTCATTTTCATTCATAATATAATATGCATATTCAGATTATTGATACCATCCACTAAGTTGAGTATATACGTAGAGCTTTTAATATATACGACTATCAGCAAGTAGCATCCTGTTAGCTTTCCTCTGACAAGGTTTGCCAGTTGGAGTGTACCGTACCTTACTAGGGAGCTGTTCATTTAGTTGCTAATCCTATGAAATCTGAACATGTTCTGCGTAGTCATTTGATCTGGTATTTTATAGCATTCAGAGCCTCTGTGTCTGTATCTGATTTCATCTTTCAATTTTATAGGTGTCATTGATACACGGAATAATATTCAATTTTTCATGAGAGCTCAGCTGGATTATTTATCTCTGACCTTGTGTGATAGTCATAACAACATAGCCGAAGTGTTTGTACGTGATTTAGAATCTGGTATTACTATGAAACACTCAAGAACAACAATCAGAGCAAGGTATAAATATCATAACTGTATTTAAAAATATATTATGCCGGAGAATCGTTGCACATCGTGATGTTTTCTAGAGGTACGTGTATAGGGCGACCATCCTGGTATGGTCTAGGGGGTATAGGTCATACATCTTGCTACTTTCTCAAGTAAAAAAATGATTGAATATTTCAGGTCTGTGTTTTTCGTAAATTTGTACTCAAGAATGGTTATGGAACATGTACCCTCAGAAAGTACCAGGATGTCTGTCCTCTTGGGGGAGGTGAATAATTGATGTGCTGTAACAGAGGATGTGATTGGTTTTAAATCCCAGCATGTCATATTAATAACTATATTTATTTATTTTCCAAATCAACAGATTAAAGGACCTCTCCATTGAAGACTCTATGAGTAGTAATCTTTACACTAAAATAATATGTATTGAAGATGCAACAGTATTTGATGTTAAGGTGAGAAAAAAAGAACTTTCCATCAATGGTGTCTAGTATTATCTGTTTAATTCATGAAATAAGTACATGTATTATTATTATACATCTGTCACCGCAACTCCATAAGTGACAGGGTGCCGTAATTTTGTTGTATTTTACAGGGCATTTTCATCCTAAAAGATTAGGAAATGTGAATTCCAAATATGGAATAATTACGCGTGTAAGCGTCCTCTAATAATAAAAACAAACATGAGTGCCATCAGAATTTAACCGGACTCCACACAAAGAAGTTCGCAGATTCTGTTCAAAACTTTTTGGATTTTGGCATTCCCA